AATGTCTGTGTTGTGTGTGTAAGGTCGGGGGGGTCCCATTTCACTGCAGGGCAACCTGCATGTGGCGAATAAAGCTTTGATTGATTGATTGATTGATTGATTGATTGAAATCTTCCTTCAAAAATAATTTCAGTTTATTTCAAACAGGTGTATTGAGTCTATTATTATAACAGGTATAACATGGCCTTCCTTCAGGGGTAAAATAAAAACGCATCCATATTGAACGATGGACAACAAGGAGCAAATCATTTTATGTTAGATATCTTTTTTCCTCTTACCTCTGCATTTATCTGCATTACTAACACACTACAGGCAAAAATATACCCTGATACAGGGCAACAGTTTCCCTGAATCGCTACAAAAGAGTTGAAAAGTGAAAATTGTGCTTGACCCATAGAGACATCGGTCCATTTCACTTTTCTGTCCAATTCTCAGCATTCGCATACCCCGTATTCCTCAGCCATCAGAGTGCTTTCATAGGAGCTCAGCCAGCGCTCAGCCTGCTCCAGCTCTCTCTGCAGAAGGACAATCTCCAGATCCTCCTGATACAGCAGCCTGGTTTCCTCCCAAACCTTCTCCACCCGCATCTCCAGCTCCTCTAGCTCACAGATACGCTGCTCCACCTGAGAGGAGGAATATACAGTGGGATATCAGCCATTCGGAGTCATTTCTATTGTTGTTGATGTTTGATGTGCCAAGCTACCTTCTCAGACATGAAGTTTCCGTCCTCAATCAGACGACTTCCTTTCTGTTTGACGGCCTGTGATTTGATTAGTTGTCTGTCGATCTGGACGCGATACTCATCGTGCTTTTTAATGAGCTGTTCCAGGTCGCTTCCCTCACCACTCTGAGGCTCCCCTCTCACCAGAGACAGCATCTCCTTCAGCCACGCCCTGGAACACAAGACAATGTGCAATCTTTAAAATACTGCTTCTTTGAAAGAGAAAGCTGGTAATCTGCTGGTAGGAACAAAGAGGTTGTTATTTTCATTTGTGCTTATATCTGGCAGAGTAGCTTTCTGGCACCTGCACACTCTTCTGTGCACATACATGGAAAGTGGAGTTGGGCACATGACCCCAGAACAGAGCGGGTGACAACAACTGACAACTGATATGAAACTGATGTCGTCAAACATCACATGAAAGGAAGACCTGGGGTGTAAAGCCCCTTTAAAGCAGTTTAATCCAATGTCAATGAGATTTACCAACTGGACTCCATAGTGATTTACACATTTGGCTAACACATGAAAGGTCCCTGGTTTGAGACCAGGCTGAAACACAAATACTTTGGGGGTTTGTATAGAAAAATAAAGCTAATCTTAATAATCACTTAATACTATTTGTAGTGTTTTTGAATTTTGGGTAGTGTGTGAATATTTTTTTTTTCCATTGACAGAACCTACATGAGTTCAGTCCACTGGGAAAGGTATTTCTGCACATCTTCTGCCTGGCCTAGTCTGGCCCGTCGTAGGGAGGCCTTGTCCTGGATACTGGTCCAGCAGGCCTCTAGGTCATCCAGCCGCTGAGTCACAGAGGACCTGGCCTGAGGCTGGGATTTGCTCAGTGTGCAACCTACTTCTCTACTCCTGGTTACTTCCTCAGAGATTCGAACCAGGTCCCTCTGATGGAAAAGACAGACAACAAGGCAGGAACATTCATTCAGCTGTCATGCATCCACCACTTAGCTTTGATGCAGTGTTTCCTACCTCCAGTGCTTCATGTTGACTCATCAGAGTCTGGATGGAATGCAGGTCGTGGCCCAGGTCCTCTGAGTCCAGTACTGCTTCCTTCTCAGCCATCCAGCCCTTCAGTTCTTCCACATCGTGGTTAAACTGATGAATCTCCCTTGCTGCCTGCAGATTCTGAAGGACACAGGACAGACCATCATTCTCACAACCTCTAACCCAGATCAACTCTTCCAAAGGTAGCTTGATCTATCAGATCTATACCTGTTCTCTGGTCCTTATGCTACTGTTGAGCTCATCCCACAGCCTGCTGAGTGCATCATCCCTCCTGCGAGCCTGATCGTCTTGTTGCAGCCCTCGGCCAAGCTGCTGTACTGAGGTCAGTCGGCTGCGACCCAAACCGGAAACCTCTGAAACCAGAACCTCCAGCTTCTTCTGAAGGACCTATAGATGGAGAGAAGGGACAAAAAGCTAAGAAATGAATAAAGAGGGAGATATTAGCAGTTTGAGACCTAAGAGTTTCATTAGATATACACCCTGGTAGAACATTGGTTTAATATTTACTACAAACTGACCATTTTCTCTATTTGTGTGCCAGTAAAGTCTCTTCCTTTTTAAGATTTTTTCAAGCCAAAAACTGATATGCTCCAATAAATAAATATGAAACTAAACCCAAACAAATGCAATCAATATAACTTGGAGCCTCTGTTTTCATAAGTTTGAACAAACTTCCTGCTACCTAATTGGATAATAATAATAATAATAATAATGGATTGCATTTATATAGTGCTTTTCTAGGCACCCAAGGCGCTTTACAATTCCACTATTCATTCATTCTCACATTCACACGCTGGTGCAGGCAAACCACGGTCGCCCAAGATAAGAAGATGGACAGATTTGTCCCGTCGCTGATTCTACAGTTAGAAAAACTCATTCAATAGGTGCTGTTATAGCTCATCTGGTGACATCATACAGATGCCCCACAATCCAACTCTTGGCATTTCAGCCACCTCCATTTGACTCAGCAGAGTATCAGGGCTTTAACACCTTGTGCCCCTCGGGGACCTTGGGGACATATTTGGAAAAAACAGCTGTAGTCAGAGAAATCAGATGAGCTGTTTATTTCCTGACAACCTGAGCATTACTGGAGCTTAGCTTCAGCTGGGCGCAGTCCAGGAGAGGGCTGCATGTTCATCCAGAATCACCTGATGTTTTGCTGGAGTTGCCTGGGTAAGAGAGGCCAACTAAGGCAGATCAAGTCTTGTTCGGTGGGCTCACAAAACTCTTTCCAAACACAAGTTTTTGGTTTAGCTCCTGCCAGAGCCATAATCCGCTTGGCCTGTCAATATCTATCAGCCACAGTCCCACAAGCTAATACAGCTGAATAGGTCCACTGTCAGACACGGCTTGTGCACCCTCACTACACGTCTGGGGGGCCAGGTCTGTCCATTCCAGTGTCCTCAGTGGTCACTAGATGGTGAGCAACTAACAGCTCTGCTCCTGTCTCTGGACCGTTTCCCCGACCTGAAGGTGCAGGAAAGCAATGCTCTTGTGCACTGGTGAACCAACATACAGGCAACAAGCCAGAGTGATAAAAGTATACCCACCCCTGCCCGCTACCTCTCACTAAGGGAAACTAGAGTTCAGGCTTATTCCTGGACACTGGTTCCTAAACCCAAGCTGTGAATTGAGGCAAGCCTGACTATATCTATGGCACACTAGCACAGGCTAGTTATTTATTTAACACCAGTTCACAAC